CGTCCTGCCCTTTAAGCATCACCCCATTGCCTGAAAACTTCCCGCTTTGTTGCAGGTACCCAGCAGCAAGCAGAGGCTTGTGCCTGGGAGCAGCAGGCCTGGATCAGTGCTTGGAGCAGGCGGTGCATCCAAATGATGCTCCAGGGACTGATGCCAGGGGCTCAGTACAGGGGGAGTGGAAGGCACCAGAGCTTGGCCTGAGCTCTGCAGCGCATTCTCTGCCCAGCACGTTCCCCTTCACTGCAGGCAATGGGCATTAACTCACTGAGCTTCTCCTGGTCCCTTTCTCAGGTCCCCCCAGTGAAGTGAAGGAAGAACTGAAAGAGCTGAGGAGCAGAGTGGAAGCGCTGGAGCAGGTAAAACCTGCAGCATGGACCCTCCCTGCCATGTCCTTACCACCCCGGAGCAGCTCGAGGCCATACTCAGCCTGCTCCCCCCCGGATTGCTGCAGCCAGGGTTTCCCTCCATCCTGGCTCTATTTATAACTTCCTCCTGGGCTCAGATGCTGCAGGATCCCCCCTGCGCTCCAGGGGTTCCAGCCCCACAGCCCTTTGACCACAACCGAAGCTCCTGAGTGGTTTGGTGGGTGCTGCACCCCACGGGCACACGCTCAGGGCCTCCCTTCTCCCCACAGAAGCTGCAGTTGGTGCTGGCCCCCTTCCACAACCTCATGCCTTCCGTGCCCGAGGACGTCGGCGCAGACCCCATCAGCCGCTTGTCCCACTCCCTGCAGCAGCTGGACAGGATCGAGTCCCTGAGCGAGCAGATCTCCTTCCTTGAGGAGCGCCTGGAGACGTGTGAGTGCCTGGAGCAGGGCTGGAGCATCTCACTGCTCCACCCCGGCCCCGGGGAGCCGATGTGGGCCAGCGCCATCAGGAACACATGTGCCACTCAATGTCTCCCTAAGCTCAGCAGCCTGTAATTAATAGCAGATGAACACAAGCAGCCCATTAGCTCCATTGCAGAGCTGGTTCTGTGGCTGCACCATCTGACTGCCCTCATAGCAGTCGGCAGCCCCAAGGCTGGCATGTGGGAAGGCAGCTCTGGGGCAGAAGCAGTGGTCGCATCCCAGATGGGGCGGCTGTTCCCTCCTTGTGCTGCTCTAACTCAGCCCTTAGGAGAGGAACCCCAGCTCTGAGGAAATGAGCAGCCCCCAAGTCCATCAGGAAGGGTCAGGGAGCGCAGAAGGAGGCAGATTTACGAGCCTGGGAAGGTTCAGATGTTTCCCTTTGAAGTCCATGGACCAGGGAGGGTCCCCGAGTAGCAGACTCTGAAGAAGAGCCCCTGGTGAGAGCTGTCGTGGGTCTTGCCCATCCCCGCATGGCCCCGAGGTGCGCGCAGAGCTCTCTGCAGCTTTGCTTTGGCCACTGTTTCAACAGGCACATTAACTGCAGTCAAACAAGCCCAGAAACCAGGCCCGGTGCTCGCAAAGACTTGAGGGGAAACCGTTTCAGGGCAGAGCCGTCCCAGGTCACTGCCTGCGGTAATGGCTTAGCTAGAAAAGACCTCAAAGAACCTGTTTGAAGAGCAAGTGGCAGCAAACAGCCACTTAACCACCTCAGGGAGGGGCAATCATCAGAAGCAGTGAGTGCTCCAGCACACCCAGCTTCCCAGTAGTGCCCCGTACATACCATTAGTGACAGCCGAGGAATGCGAGCACTATCACAGGGCGACAGGGATGTATTCCAAGGGATGACTCCCAGGTCCTGGAATTAACTTCTGCCAAGCCTGGCCCAGCAAGCAAAACTTGGTTTTGTCCCTCTCCTGGTCTTGGAAGTCCCTGGAGGACACAGGACTGTCCCTTAGTGCTCCAGCGAGCACTGGGGCCTGCAGGGCACCCCATGGAGCTCAGGACCACGCTTTCTGTGCCTTGTGCAGCTGAGGCACCACTGCACACTCCCATTATCTGCCCAGTGGGGATGTGTGTAAGGAATAAAACCCATTTCCTCTTTTAAACCACCAGCAAAGGCACAAGGTCAGGCCTTGTCCGAGGCTGAAGGACCCCAGCGCAGCAGTGGGAAGCAGTGGGGAAGGAGACCAACCCACCCCCGGCTGACACCACTGCCGCTTGTCTCCCCTCTTCCCAGGTTCCTGCAAGAATGAACTCTAGCGAGCACCGAGGAACTGGAGCGAGCTGAGCGCAGCCACAGCCCTGACCTCGCTGTCCAGCCCCAGGCTGGGGACGAAGCCGCATCACCTGCAGGAAGGCACGGGGTGGCAGGAGAGGGCTGGTTTCCCAGCAGCATCTCCATTCTCTCTCCCAGCTCACCTCAGCAGAGGTCATGCAGTTACTTCCAGACTGGACTCTGCACCCTCAGCATCTCACCCCTACCTGTGCAAGAGCGGAAAATAAACCCCTTCCCGTGTGCCCCGAGTGCCTGTGCCGGAGGCTGCACCGTGCCCTGCTTCACCCTTCACTCAGCACCACGCTGGGCACAGGGCGGGTTGTGCTGCCTGCCCAGGGGCACAGAGCTGCTCCTGCCCGCACACCGGGGGACACGTCCTGTGGTTGGGGGACTGTGGCCACAAAGGGTTGTGCAGAGGGACAGCCCCAAGCCAGGCACCACGGCAGGGGATGAGCGCAGCCAATCGCTGGTGGGGTACAGGGAGTAGGAGCCCATCCCTGCGGCCTCTGTTCTGCTCTCTGGGACCAGCCTCAAGCACTGGAGGTGGCCTGGTCGCCACTTCTTGGCACAGTATCAGCTTGCCCTCAGCTTACCTGCTCCTGCTCGCTGTTCTCTGTCCCTAAAGGGACACAAGGGCGATGCTTCTACCTGTACCTGAAGGCACAGGGGCTGGTTTTACCCGTTTTAATAGAACACCTTTCCCTGTGTCACTCCCATTGCCAGCACAGAGCAGACAGGGACAAGCCTGTGCCACTCGTGGTGAGGACAGGGAGGGAGGGAGAGCTCCCTGCAGGCCTGGACAGGGAACCGAGGTGTTTACACTGGCACCACAGGCTGTTGATGGAGCCAGCCTCTCCCAGACCCAACAGCAGCTGTCAGCCCCATGGCACACACACACACATACACACACAGAGCACTGTTTGCTCAAGCCCAGGGGGACACGTACAGCAGAGCAGACATGAACAACCGGGTACCACACTCCCCTTCCTGCCGGGAGCAGAGCTGCAGGGATTGCACCCAAACACAGGCTCCTGTGCCTGCACTGAGGCTGCGGGATCCTGAGTGGCAGGGAAGGTGCTTCCTCCAGGGCCTGGATTGGAGGAGAGCTCCATCCACACAGGCACCACCTTCCTCTTCCTCAGGAGAGGTCCCTCCTGGTCCATGGCTTGGGGTGGGGCTGGGGCACAGCACATCAGCCCTTCTGCCCACTGGGACCACCCCTCGGTCACCAAAACCCCCCTGCACAAAGCAGGGGGTCAGCACCCTTCCACCCCCCAGCAACCCACCTCCCCCAGCTCCCACACACGACCAGGACTCTATTTAAATAACCAAAGGTGTATTTTTTTTTCTCTTTAAAGCACATATCATTGTCACCCCAATTAAAGTGAACAGCAGAAACTGCACACAGAGGCACTGCTCCCTCCTCCTGGGGAGGAGGCTGCAGGTCCCTCAGTGGACACCGTTCCCCTCAGGACCCTCCGTGACAGCCCCTTATCTGCCACTTACAAAGTGCTGGTTCAGTCCCCATCCTCCCACCCTGACCCGGCTGCAGCGGGTCTGACCCCTGAGTCTGTACTTGTTAAGGCCCCTCTGATAAAGCCCCCCCAGCCCCAGATCCCTGTTACAGGAATTCCCTGCCTTTCCCAGTGGAGGCTTTAACCCCCAAATGCCGTATGACTGCAATTCCACCAATGCAGGCTGCAAAAGCCATCTGCATTGGTTACCTGAGCAGCCCCATGCAGCTTGTCTCAAAGTTCCACACCCTGCACCATGAACAGGAGAGCAAAAGCCTCCCTCAACCCAAGCTAGAGGTGAAGGTTACCCCACAACCACAGGCCTGCTCCAGCCTTGCTCTTTGCAGAGGGCATCACCACTTGTGCGGCTCCCAGCAAGGGATGCAGGCTCCATCACCCCAAAGCACAGGGAAAATCCCTTTATGTGAACTGGAAAGGATCCGTTTCCCCCAGAGGGAGAGCTGAAGCCTTCAGCACCCGGTCACAGCTCCAGCTCACCCTCCCCGTGGCTTTGCAGGAGCTTTGCAAGCCCCGCAGAGCCACAGCTCCACTGAGATCAGCAAAGACATGAGACAGGCACCATCTTTCGGCCAGTGCTGACCATGACAAGTGGCAAAGCGAGCAGAACAGAGCCCTCTGCATCTGCAGCAGGTACCACACACCAGGACACCCGCTGGGAGCAGGCTGAGCCACCAGCACGGCACAAACAAGTCACCATGAGCACAGGTTTGCCCAGGGCTGACACAGCTGTAGGTTTTAAATACAAGCTGGTGGCTCTGAATGGTAGAAGCAAGCATGGGGCTTTGCTCAGAAGAGGCCTAAACCAGCAAGGCTGTACCACACCATACATCTGGCTTGGTCAGGTCGCCACTGCTGCACAAGGGCACTTGGTTCAGACAAGGCAATCAAGCCTGAAGACACACTGTGAGACCGAGCAGCCCTACACCTTCCCCTCTGCAGCCCCAGCTGAGGATATCAGCCCTGGTGCTTCCTTCAGAAGTGAAGGATTCTGCTCAGGAGTAACGCAGAGCCGCAGCACTAAACACTGCTGTGGCACAAGGACAATCCTCAGGAGACAGGCCCTGTCCCAGGGACACCCTGTGAGCTCCACCGTGCTGGCTGCCCAGGGAGGACACCGCTCCCTGCGCTGCTGAGAGCCAAAGTCTGCATTTTCACCCGATTCTCAGCCTTGGTTGAGCAGCATCAAGGTCATGCAGATACAAAGTGCTGCCTGTGGGACAGCCAGGCCAGCTCCAGCCTGAGCCTCCAGCCAGGCTCTCCTTGTCAGCCCACAGGAGCTGGGGAACTCACCTCTCTGGTCATTGAGCCCTTTGGTAGCACAAGTTTGATGCCTGAGAAATTCAGGGAAAGGAGACGTTTCACTGGGAGACAATGAACTCATAAGAGAAATCCACTCAACGGGGACCTCAGAGCTCGCTGGACACCCGTGTGTGCTGGTCCATGGTGTCCCGGCGTGACAAGTCACTGCAGAGGAAGAGAAGTCCCTTCGGGATTTGGCAACAGACAGGTCCCTTCAGCCACCACCACACAGTAACGCCACTGGAGAAGCATCTAAGATGAGTCCTTTGCCTCACTTGGACGGCCCGACAGCATGAAGAAGGTCTCCCTCATGGTGTGATAACATCTGTCAGTGAGGTCAGAGACATCATCTGATGTCAGGCCTTTGGTCTCGATTGGAGGCAGAACCTCAACCTTGATTTTGCCTGGGAACAAGAAGAGCCTATGAGAATGCACACCAGTTACGAGGAGAGGTGGTGCCCCATTTTAAATCAAAACATCCCCCAGTGTTTGTTGGAGCCCAGGTTCTGGTGCCAAGAGCTTTGAACTGGCTCCACACATGTCCCACAGGGACTCCTCCTGCTCACCCCAGCTCTGCTTCCCTCCCACACCCATAGGTCTCCTCTGGGCATGGCTTCAACCCTGTCCTCGAGTGACTGTAAAGACCCTCAGGCTCTGGTACCTGATGTAAATAGTTTCTTCTTTGGGTTATAGAAGCTGGTGAAGGAGGAATAAACCACAGGGATCACTGGGACCTTGGGGAAGAAGAGGAAAAACAGGAGTTACTTGCACTGCAGCAGCCCAGGGCAGGCCAGAGATTAGCAGCAGAGCTGACCTGGCCCAGCTCTCAGACACTGAGGGCACCACACAGTCCCACAGGCAAGACTCGCTCCCAAAGGCTGGGACAGCCAGGAACCAAATGGGATTCAAACCACTCCCAGCAACTCAAGGCACGGGGACATTTGGGCACTAGGACCAAGTTACACTTCAGCCCCCGGTCAGCACTGGCTCTCTGGGCAGGCTTCAAACCCAGGTATTTTCTGAGCCGCAGACTTTGGAAGGTGCCCGTTCTGACAGGCCTTGCCCTGCTGTGCAGGCACACGAGTGGGGCAGGCAGCTTGTGCGCCTTCAGCTTTTGAGCAAAGGGTCACCAGTTGCTCTCAGGGAAGGTTCAGAGAGGCAGACACACCAGGAGGGCACAGTCAGTGCTAGCAGACACAATCCACAGCCCATGACTCAGGGGGAGTGTCAGAGGTGGGTGCTTTTGCCACTGTCTCCTTTCTGCCAGCCCCTGCCCCGGTTGCATCACCCCAGCAGGAACGGCACGATGCAGGCTACACCCTGGGCTGGGCCAGTCGAACCCAGCGGATCTGGCGCCTACTCCCCTTCTCCAGGATCCTGCCCTAACACCTCTCTTAGGGAAAGCAGTTTCCCCTCAGGCCTGGGGTCATCCCAGCCCCAAGAAACGATGCCATGGGAAGGTAAAGCACCCATTCCCTCCATCTCCCCGCTGGCACCCAGTTCCCAGCACTGGGAACCGAGCAGGGTGGCCCAGGCAGCACCGCCAGGCCTTCAGCATCCCTGGCACAGTGCCCCGGAGCTCTGCCCAGGCAGGCACCACCTCCAGGAGCACCCACAGCTCCAGCAGCCAAGGAGCAATTTGCCTACTCCCAGATCTTGTCATCTTCGAGAAGGCATTTAAGACATAAAGAAGTACCATCAGGCTGTCTGGAAGGGAGCAGCTATTTCCACACAGAACAAGCCCAGGTGTTGCTCCAAACCACCAGCATTAACAACTCTGGATCAACAAACACCACACTATTGCATCCTGGGGGATTGGGAAATGCATCAACAGCTCTGGGGTTCCCCAAGAGCTTGCTGGGCTCCTGGCCAGAAGGGAGCTCTGTGCTGTGCTCCCAGGAGCAGGGCATGGACACGGCACCCCACGCTGCCAGGCAGCCACCTGTAAAGCCTAGAGCCAGGGAGACAACTGTGCCTGTCCCCACCTCTGCCCTCCAGATGGGACACCAGGGCTGCAGTGCCGGGGTGGTCCCCAGAGAGGACAAGGCAGCTTCTCCACTGTCTGCAGCCACCCATCCACAGGGGCCAAGTCACTCCTGCAGGAGATGGAAAAGGCTCCCAGCTCCTGCTGGGCAGTGCTTATGACACCTAAAGGTGGTTTAACTGAGGAGCTCAGCTGTGAAACAACTCACTAGAGAGCAAGTGAGCCAACCATGACCAGTGTGCAACACCCACTGCGGAACTCCCAGGGTCCCCAGCAGGGGCACAGCACCATTACCTGTGCCTGGATAGCGAGATGGAACGCTCCTTTCTTGAAGGGCAGGAAGTCCCCGGTGCAGTTCCTCGTGCCCTCTGGGTACACCCACACCTTCACCTGCACATGGAGAGATAAGGCTCCACTCCAGCAATCCGCTTCAAGCGCTCCTTCCTGCCGGCCGAGCCACCAGCCAGCCTTGCCAAAAGCTGCAGATGAGCCAGCACCAGGAGTGCCACCTGGGATGCCCAGCACATGCCACCCCTCCAAGCACCATGGTCACACTCACGTTTTCAGCCACCATAGTCTTGGCCACCTCTGACATCACCATCTTGGCACTGGTGGTGCTCTTCCTGTTGATGAAGATGACGCCACCGAGGTACATGATGAGCCCCACGAAGCCCGTGTACAGCAGCTCCTTCTTGCCCACCTGGACACAGTTGTCAGGCAGCACCTCCATCAGCCCTAACATGACGGCAGAGGATGAGACCCAGGAGTCACCCCTCTGCCTGCATCCAGATGGAATGAGAGACATGATGCGAGGTGTGGAAGGGAGCACAAGGGACAGGGCAGTGCCTTGTTTCTCTACCGGCTTTTCTGCTGCCATCAGTAGATCAGAAGGAGACTCCACACAGCAGAATCACAGGGGCAGGGTGGCTGCAGGTCATAGCAAGACCCTCAAGAGGCAGGGTCCCTCCAGCACACTGACACACATGCTTGGCCAGCCAGGCTTTTAGTGGGTAGGGGTGTAAGGGGGAGCTGAGAAGCACCCGAAGCTGAGGAGTACCTGGGGTGCTGAATGGGGTGTGATTGCTCAGGGCGAGGGGAGAACCTTCCTGCATCAACACTGACAGGGAGAGCTGGACCAGTGGGCTCAGAAGCCCAGAGCGGCCAGGCAGGGGCTGCTTGGCCAGGGTATGTGAACAGGATTTCTAATGGTGAGCAAGACAACTGCTCCCTCCCCCCCCACTCCTCACCCATCATGTCGAGGATGCTCTGGTGGTTGGACACAATGATAGCAGGGCCCTCTACCTCGAAGTTTTCCAGTCCCTTCACCTCAAACCTCAGGCCGAAGAAATACTTGAAGGTCTTGACCACATTTTTGATGATTCTGCAGAAGAGAAGAGCAGTCATCAGCAGGGCAGGGGAGGGGAGGGGAGATAGGGTATGCTACCCACAGGGTGGGTGGAAGGAGACAAGAGCACCTCTGTGACATAGAGCCTCCAGTCCCATCTGCCCTGTGGTCTACGCAGGTCCAACCCAGTTGCATTTTAAGCCTTGTCTCCTCTGAGGGAATTTTACTGGAAGCCTGGGGGAAGCTGATTGTAAGCGAGGCTGGTACAGCCAAGCCCACATCTCCTTCAAGCTGACAGCATCAGCTCACAACCAGGCTCACTATGGGCTCTTTGGTACAGGCAAGTCCAGCCCAGCGCAGCTGCAAGAGCCCTACACACAGGGCAAGCTGGAAGCCCTCCAAAGTCCAGGAGGGAGGGATGCTGGTTTCCACACTGCATCACAGACAGCTCTTCCCGCTGCCAGTCCTACCCACTGGGTGCTGTTTCCCCTGTGCCATAACTGTTGCCTGCTCTGATGCCACCCATGTTTTCCTCCTGCCATCAGCAGAGCCCCACATGTTGTTCCAGCAGTTCCCCTTGGAGCTGCCACTCCCAGCACATGGGCATTAACCTGCACACCCGTCACCCAAGGAAGGCTCTGCCAGTTCTGCTGCTCACAGTGCTGCAAGATGCTGCTTAATCATACAAACATGGTGCCATCGTGCCATGAAGTCCAAGAAGAGATGAGAGTGAAAGAAATACTTCCCTGCACAACACAAGGATGAAAGCAACAAAGCTCCCACACAGCCTGGCACAGGCAAGGTGCCCCCGGCAAACCCATCTTCAAGCAAGCACTTCTGCCTGTCACTTCTCTTCCCCAGTGGATCCACAGGTCTGTCCACAGAGCTCCCAGCTTTCTTCTGTGCCCAAGGGCTGGCAGGAGACACCAGTCATGCCCTTGCTGAGCACACCCAGCACTGGTCACCAGCGCACGGAGCAGGGCCCATCCACACCACCCAGGCAGGTGGGAGCTGGAGAGCCTCCAACTGGGCCAGAGGACACAGCCAGGCGCTGGCAGCACACAGGGGCTATTTTGGGCAGGGAACAGCCATTTGCCAGGGCTGGAAGCAGAGGAGCTTGCACGTGAACCCCCCCGGCCACCAGCTCGCCTCGGCTCTCCCCTAGGGCAGACTCAGGTGCTGACCCCTGCCCTCCAGCAAGCATCTGGATGTCCTGCCTTAGGGCCCTCCTTCTCCTTGGCAAATGGGGGGAAGCTCTCCTCCTTGCAGGACATGGCAGAGGGACCACTGCCAGCTTCTCCCCCACCACAGGGCCCAGCCTGGGAAGCACCCCTGACACCCAGGGCAGGAGGTGAGCACCCAGCCAGTGCCTCACCGCGGCCTGGCAGCAGCTCCCAGCATCTGCTCTCCAAAAGCATCCCCACCTGAGAGTCTCCACATCTTCAACTGCACACCTCTGCCAGCGTGACCTTCCCCCAGCTGGCTCCTACCCTCACTGGGGTCCATATCCCCATGGGGCACCCTGCCACGTAGACTATGCCTGTGCCAGCCCTGACACAGGAGTTCAGGCCAGGCCAGTGCCCACAGGTGACACAGCTCAGTAACAGCACTATCACTCCCTGTCATTAAGAGGTGCTCAAAGGTTAGAGCCACACCAAGGGAAGGGACACAGGAGGTGGCCAGGACCTGCAGCGAGGTTACACAGTGCAGCCCAGGTGAGGAGAGGCAGGGTGACAGGAATCAGTGGGGTCACAGGGATGCTGTGACACCAGACTGACCTAAATCCCACTTCTCCTGGGTCCCGACTGCCAACCAAAAAGGAGGTCACTGCTCTGGAAGTCACACAGCTCAGGAGCTGCTGGGAGAGGCTGGTTACACATTACTCAAGAGCAAGCATCCAACTTCCTCCTGCCAGTGCAGAGCCAGCCTTGCCTTGCACAAGATGTGGCGTGAGCTGAAAGAGGGAAAGGGGCAGAGCTCAGAGCAAGCAGAGATCCACCAGCGGCCCTGCTGAGGGGCCACGTCACCCACGGGGTTAAGCAGATGAGCTCCACTCCCCTCCAACACTGCAAGCAGCAGCTCTGCTGGTACAAACCACCCTGACCTGGGGTGGTCACAGCTGCAGAGAGCTCCAAGTCTGATGCACAAGAGTAGAAAAGAGGGAATGTGCCTTTTGAGTGCATCCAAACCACCTGAGTCCATGTGCTTTGCTTCATAGCCTGTGACAGAGGCCTCGTCAGGATCCTCTGATTTTCCAGGACTGCTTCCCAGATAAGAAGCTCTTACAAGAGGTTTCACCTCTAGATAAACGCTCCATCTCTGTCAGACATGAGGGCAACCTCTTCCAAGTCACAACAGCTTGGCACCAGAGCCAGGAGCACAGCAAGGACAGGGTGTTCTGCACCTGGCAGCCATGCTGTGATCACTGCCTGTCCACCAGCACATGCTCTGCTCCAACCCCTTCCTCGACCTGGGATAAGCAGACTGGGATGCTGCAGGAATGAGTTCACTGGATCACCTCTGCCACAGACCTCCCAGCGGCTGGCATACCCAGCCAGCATCATCAGCCAGTGCCAGCACATGGAAATGACAGGCTTAAGTTACAGGAAAAGGGCGGTTCTGGCCTAAATTCAGCCCCAAGTTTCAACACGAGGAGCTGCTCAGTGCAAAGAGCTGTTGTTTCCAAAGAGTTCCTTCAAGTTGACACAAATTTTACAAGCTTTAGGGGTGGGGAAGGAGGGGGGGTTGCCTCTAACTGCCGTCACAGAGCCTCACAAAGATGGTGATGCACTGGAAAACTGCTCCTGGGCAAGCCAAGGCAACCAAGGCTGCAGAGGCAGCTAGGCTGGAGCTCCCGGGGCAGATTGCTGCTGCCAGCGCCCGGGCCCACAGCACCAGGGCGGACCAGAGCCCACAGGGCAGCACATCGTGCACTGCCGCGCTCGCTCCACCCCGAGCCCTGCCTGCCAGAGCCACACTGCGAAGCAAAGTCCACCTCCACCAGCTGAAACGCTGCCCAACCTTTGATCCAACGGATGCACCAAGGCAACGGGGCTCCGCTTCCCTCGGCACCCGCAGAACTCGAGCTGGGCTGGGATGGTCGGAGCAGGTAACAACCGGCCTGTGGGAGAGCAGAGCAAGGAGCCCGAGCTCTCCCGTGCCAGCTCTGCGCTCACAGCGCTGCTCCCAACCACACCGCGAGCAGCCCGCAGAGCGGGGCCTGGCGGCAGCAAGCACAGGCTCCACGGCCCCGGGCCGAGGGCAGCGCGCTGACCGCTGCTCTGCCCGCCGGGAACCGGCCCCACACACAGCCGCAGAGCGCTGTCACGGAGCTCACGGCCCCCTCACCACGGCACCGGCCGCCATCCTCACACCCATCCCCGACGGCGCTCTCTGCACAGCCCGCACCGGCGCGGCCCAGAGGGCACCACCGAGGCCTCCATCCTCACACCGAGGTGCCGGCGGTCACCGCCACCCTCCGCGTCCCCGCACAGCGCGGCCGGGCCTGAAGCCGATCCCCCCCGCCCCGGGCTGCGCTGCACCGCCGGGCCCCGGTGCGGCCGCGCTCACCCACCTCATGTTGCGGACGGTGCGGCCGCCGTTGAGCAGCAGGCAGGCGGGCGCGGCCAGCAGCGAGCCCAGCACACAGAGCACGCAGTACCAGCCCAGGCGCAGCGCGAAGCCCACGGCGGGGCTCAGCTCGGCCAGGACATGGAGCAGCAGCAGCACCGCCGCTCCCCACAGCAGCCACCCCGGCTCCATGCCGCCGACTTCGGCCGCGCTCCCCGCCCCAGCAACGGCCTCCGCCGCCGAGACGGGCGCTGGGCGCTGACCCCGCCTTATGTGGGCGGCCCGGCCCCGGCTGCTCCGCTCCGCTCCGCCCAGGCCCGGCCCTCCCCGCCGCTCCCCTCCGCCGGGTCCCGCCCGGCTGCCGGTTGGGGTCGGCTGTCGGTGCCGTGTGGGTCCGGCTGCCCTCGGGGCTCGTTGAGGGGCGGGTTTGGTTCCCTCATGGAGCCCGGGGAGGGCGGGCTTTGAGTCCCCTCATGTCGCCATGTCAGGGCTTGCACTGGCTCTGCGGTGCCATGGGAGGTCTTTGGGATCCCCTCATAGTGCCGTGATGGGGTTTTCAGTCCCTTCATGGTGCTGTAGGAGGCTTTTGGGATCCCCTCGTGGTGCTAGGAGGGGGGTTTCAGCCCATGGCGCCATGGGAGGTCTTTGGGATCCCCTCACACTGCCATGAGGGGGTTTTCAGTCCCTTCATGGTGCCATGGAATGTCTTTGGGGTCCCCTCACGGTGCCATGAGGGGGTTCTTGGTCCCTCCTGTGCGGTACCCAGGTCTCCCACGACGGTTCTCACTAGCAGAGCTCAGCATGGCCCCGCTGTGGCACATCGCCATCACCCCATCTCCCTTCCTGCGCCTCGTCCGCACTCGTCATGGCGCCCGATGCTGGCACAAACAGCGCTGAGTGGGCCGGGGCCGCCCCGCTGGCGCTGGGGTTAGGGCAGGATCAGGCCCAGCAGCTCTGTGGGCAGAGAAAGCACATGTGCTGGCACTCACACAGGGTTTGCAACACCACTTAGAGCCAAACCCTGGTCCCATCGGCGGCCTTGATCCCACCGGGGTAAGGCTGCAGCCCCAGCACCCCCTCAGCGCCCCCAGCACCCAGAAAACTCAAAGGGGTTGTCCTGTTCCAAAGGACACTTGTTCCCTCGGCTTTCCTTAGAGGCAGCGGGCTGCCCCCAAATGAGCTGTCGCCAAAGCAGAGGGGACCTCACTGCGTTTCCCTGCTCCCCAGCAGCTTGAACGCTTGAAGCAGAGGACAAGCTCCTTCCCTGAGCTGTGCTGCCAGGCAATGACATCTCAGCGCTGGTCTCATGATTCCTGCTAATGCCACAGAGAACCCTGATTGTGTTAGCATCTCCACGCAGCATTAGATTAATCCTCCGGCCTGCGTGCTGCCGGCTGCTCCGAGCACCGCGCCAGCCACCGTATGCCTGGGAAGTCACCCAGACCTTTCTGGCTGAGCACACGCTGGGCCCGGAGCGATCCTGCGTGATCCTCGTGACTTTCCCCTCTGCTGACCGCAGAAGAAAGGGTGCTGTGTCACCGGGGCACCGCGCTGCCCATCTGCCCAGCTCGCAGCTGCCGGCTGCCGTTGGGAACCCGAAATGGGAATGGCAGCGCGGCCGCGGCAAACAGCGGCAGACACGGCTCCACACGTGGGCTCCGAAAGGAGCTTGGCTGCAATTCCCTTCTCCCCAGCAGCTTATCTGGAGTGATGCAAATGCAACGTTTAATATCAGCCTGCAGCTCAAGGAAAGGCAGGGATTTCTGATGTCAGATTAGAAGGCAGACATGGGCCTGCCTGCTTGCAGCAGAGCTGTCACGCTGAGTGGTTTCATAAGGCAAAGCGGTTCTGCTGCCAGATGACGGCAGCCATCAATGTGCATCAACATGACCATAACAAATAGCCTGATGGGAGCGGGCCCTGAGCCTCTGCGGGCTGTGTAACACAACAGGGACCGTGGCACCCCCTGAAATGGGGCTGGGTTTGGGCTGAGGCAAAGGCAGCCCCTTCCTGCCCTCCCAAGGTCCAGCACCCAGAATGAAGCAGTTCCAATTTCCTTTACCCCCCCATCTCCTCAGGTTGCAGGGTGTGGTTTGCATATTTACACCAGACTGAATTATTTAGATGCAGTGCAAGGCAATCTGTGTGAACGGGGTCCAGAGACACAGGCAGGAGCTGAGCAGTCAATTCTCCATGTCAGGTGCTGCCTGTTGAGAGTGTTTGTGGCACCCAGGGTCCCCTAGCACCCATAGCAGAGACCTCAGGAAGCTACACCAGGCACGAGCACTAACAGCAAAGCATGGAGAGCTGGAAGGTCCATGCAGCATTACTGATGGTGGGATTGCTGAGGCCGGGCCCATGAAAAGTCAATAAAGCTTTACCAGCCTTGGCCCTAGTTTTATGGTGTCTTATAACCATCCATCTCTGGGTTTTATCTTTGTCTTTATTGCTTCCCTTGGAAACACCATGGGACCTCCCTTTGGATGACTGGCTTCTGACTGGAACAGAAAGGGAGCCAGGGAGAACATCTCCCACGCAGGGAAAAGGTGTGTGGGGAAGTGAAAGCACTCAGTGGGGTGGGACGGAAGGAGGGATGTGCCCGTCACCCAGCATCACCTCGCAGGGCTGTGAAGCAGTCGGAGGCTTGGGGCTGAGGTGCTCAGCTCCTGTTTGCAGAGTGGTGTCTTGCTCCCCGCTGCCTCCCCGTGCCTCTGCCCTTGACGTCCCCCAGTGTCTTTGGCATCTCTACCCATCAGCCTGCTTCCCTTCGCCTCCTGCCAAGGGACACGTGTTGAAAGCAGCAGCTGGCTTTGGTGACATTAAAAGCCAGGGGAGGAGGAAACACCAGCCAAGCCTCCTTGCTCTTGGCCATGTCAAAGCATGTGGGTGGCTGTGAGTCCTCCCAGGGAGGGCAGCACAAAGCCATGGCTTGCTCAAGCTCCTAGACAGCAACCCCTGCTGCTGGGTGGTGCATAGCAGCCTCCATGTCAGGGACTTGTGGACACTAGGAAGATCTATGTACCTAACTTATTCTAGACTTCTGCCAGTCCATCCATCCATCCATCCATCCATCCATCCATCCATCCATCCTCTTCCCTCTACACCTGTCTCCACCAGCAGCTGGCTTTGAGAGATCTTGGACCCTGGAGTCACTGAGTCTCACCTCTGTGCAGGTCAGGGTACATACAACAGCCCAGCATCATGACACAGATGCAGTTATGCTGCTACAGCTTGCTCCAGGTTGGCATACTGGTAACCTGGGCCATCTTTGCATCAGTGAGCAAGGCTGTCCTAAGGGCTGACACCACCAGGATGGCATCACTGGAACCTCCTGGAAGTGTTGCCCTGGCAAACACAGCTGGGCTGTGCTGTATCTACACCTGCAGGCTGCTTGGCGAGGCAAAGATGGTGGCCAAGAGCAGTTTGGGTGAAGGCTGTGGGTGAATCCCATTTCCCTCTCACTTGTTTCAGCCTAAAAGGGCACCAGTGCATGGAGACGAAGTCCTGCTGCTGCTCCTCGTGTTGGTGGTGTGGAAGCCCAGGGCTGAGCCATCACACGCACAGGCAGAGCTCCAGCCTGACCCCAGCTGCTGTGTTGGCTCCGGGTGCCCATGGTCACACTTCCTTTCGTGGCTGCGCTTGTCAGTAATGACACAGTGCTCTTGTGACAGCAGAGTAAACACTTGGGGAGGAACTGGGCTCTTGACTCAATGTGGTTTGGAGTGAGCGCTGCAGTTACCCACAGGACTGGGTAGCAAAAGGGCTCTGCAAAAACAAACGATTGCTAAACTGCTGTGGTGAGGATGCTGTGAGGGCTGGAGCATCCCTGCTCTGGAGCCAGGCTGAGCAAGCTGGGTGATTCAGCCTGAAGAAGGGAAGGCTCCTGAAGGGGAGACCTTAGAACAGCTCCAGTGCCTAAAGGGGCTGCAGGAAACCGGGAGAGGGGCTTTGGGCAAGGGCCTGTAGGGACAGGACAAAGGGAATGGCTTTAACCTGCCCGAGGGGAGACTGAGATGAGCTCTGAGGCAGAAGCTCTTCCCTGGGAGGGTGCTGAGGCGCTGGCACAGGGTGCCCAGAGAAGCTGTGGCTGCCCCATCCCTGGCAGTGCTCAAGGCCAGGTTGGACACAGGGCTTGGAGCAAGCTGCTCTTGTGGAAGGGGTCCCTGGCCATGGCAGGGGTTGGAGCTGGATGAGCTTTAAGGTCCCTTCCAGCCCAAACCAGGCTGGGATTCTCTGGTGCTGTGATTCTGCAGACACAGCCTCCAGTGGTCACTGGAAAGACAAAGAGCCTGAGGGAGTCTGACTCTGGAAACACACCATTAAGAGAATTGCAAAAGCTATATTGCAAAAGTATATTAGATAGTCAGAGCCTTCCTTCCTGTAACTTTTGCTCACCTACAGAGAGCTCTATTGAGAAGGAAACAGCATTATCTGCTCAGCTGTTTGCTCCAGCCAGCTGGGGTTTATGGTCCTGTTTGCCAGGGGCCGGAGCACTTGATGGCTCTCAGGCCCCACAAAACCTGTGCTGTGTCTTACTTCGGAGCTTGTCTTTTCTCTGCCTTGAACAACATTTAAATCCATGGAAGACATGAGGCTGATTTGGCACCATGTGTGGTTGCATGAGGAACCCCACACAAGCTGGCTGTCGGGGAGGCTGGAGATGCGTTTGCACCATCAGGAGCGGATTCTGCTCAGATCCCTACACCCCCAGAACCGGGTTTAACTTTTTCCTCCTGGCAGGCTTTGCCAAAACCGGGAGGCAGCAAAAACACGCGGCAGCAGGATCTCACTACTGCTTCCCATTCACACGCCCAGGCTGGAAATCCCCCTGCACCTGGCTTCTGTGCGAGGCATCACAGCACCCGCACAGGCAAGGCTCGGGGTGAAATGGGAGTAAGCCCAGCACAGGACACAGCCTTGGACGTGACATCTGGATCTGCTGCCGATGGCAGTGTCCCCATCGCTCCTGTCCTGCTGCCGCACATCCCTTTGCTGCCGATGCGTAGCTGTAATTACAGGGAAGAGGAAGATCCCGTTTCCCCCCGGGAGCTGCTGTAATTACCACAGCGCAGTGGCCCATGAGAGCAGTGGGAGCCTGGGCTTTGGGAGTTGAGTGTGTTGTGCCCCAGGGAGGAAAGGGAAGCTCAGATCCACTGGGATCCCTGTCCCTGTCTCCAAACAGGCATTTCCTTACTCTGAAGCATCACTTGGTACCTGCTGGGTGCAGGCCCTGCTCGCTCTTCCTGTGCCCCCTCCAGCACACAGCAGTGTGATGTTCCTAGAGGGCCTTTGGGCTAAGTCTGCAAGTGCAACTAAACAGCTCAGCTCCTGTGTCCTGGGTCTTTTCCTCAAGCTGAGCTCATCCGGTGGGATCCCGCACCACCTCCGTGGTCCCACTGCCTGCAGCAGCGCATGGGGCTCACACTGTCCCATCGCCTCCCTTTGCAGTCACCTTTGAAGGCGATCCCATCCTCCTGCTCCTGAGCACATCTCCAGCCTCCTGCTCCAGCTCCCCAAGGGAAATGGGCTCCAGCACCTCACAGGCACTCGCTGGGGCTCAGCACAGGAGCTGCTCGGGGAAATGACCTGGGTGTTGCTGCCGTGGAGCGATGGAAATGTACTGACACCGCTGGGCAGGGCGGGAGGGAGCGGGGCAAGGACGGTTTCTCTTGCAAACAACTCCAGTCTTGCCACAGGAATGAGCTCCCGGTCTTGTCGATGGCAGCAGCACTGCAGGCTGAGCCTTGGGACAGGGCTGGACCCCTGAGGGAGCTGCTGGCACCCATCGCACCGCTGCCAGGCAGCAACTGCGTATAGCAGAGGCAGCATGAAACCGGTACCGAGCACACTTCAGGCGTATTGGCTCTTCCTGGGGTCCTTGTGTGAGAACAGAGGGTCGGGGTGGTTTGGGGTGCTGGGATACCTGGAATCAGATGCCACGTGCTCCCTGGGTGATCCCTTCTCATTGCCAGCTTTTTGCTGGCTCAGGATCTACTCAAGGTGCCAGAGTCCAGCGCGAGGTGGATTCTTTCCTGGCAGGCCTCCCTGGCTGCTGGAAGCAAACCACGCTGGCGAACATCCACAACAGGAATATGTCTCCATGAAACAGTTTTCCCCCGTTATTGATTAATGCTTTTAATGACTCCAGCTAAAAAAACCTCTTGTAGTTGCCGCCTGTCACAGGAGATCAATGGAGCAGCATTAGCAAGAGATACGGAGGCAAACTGTCCTGGGCAGCTCTGTGCACAGCCAGCCCTGGGAGCAGCGCCGCTGCTGCGCCATCAATAGTTCAGCATGACCTCTCCCTCTTGCTTGCTCTCCCCCCTGAGCTCGCTGGGCAGCAAAGCCCGCTCCGAGCTTTCACAAGGACTTGATTACAACTATCCCGATTGATCTGGGATGTGAAGAATAAAGGGGCCTCCTAAGCCAGCTGTCTGCATTGGGAAAGCTCAAGTGGCTGTGCAGACAGGGTCAGACCCTCGCTAATTCCTGTGTGCTCAGGACCCTGCTCATGTGGTTGTGGAGCATACACTGGGCGTTGGATGGAGTCAGTTCCTCATGACAAATGCAGTCCTGCTTGTCCCCAGGCTTTCCCAGTCAGCTCCCTGTGCTGCTGGGGCCTTTTGGGAGTCCATCACCGCAGGAGCCACCAAGCCCAGTCCCTCCCGGCTCCCTTTATGTGATATCCCAAAGGAGAAATCCATGTCCTGGCCCATGGAGCAATAGGAGGGGGTCCTGTGGAGGGGCTGGGGGCTCCAAGGGCTGTCTGCAGGCACTGCGGAGGGAGGAATTCCCTGGGTTGCAACTCCTAATGCAAGCCCTGGGAATAAATAACTCCATAACCAGCTGAGCCAGTGCAGGGATCTGCTGCTCAGCCTCCTTGTCCATGCTCCTTTGCAAATTCCTTTTCTCCCTTGGCTGGGAAGAGCCCATGGCTGGCACATGACAGAAATCCTAATGAGCATGGTTCCCCTTGCAGAGCTCCTGTCCACAGCCACCACGTTCTGCCTTTACCCCTGGTGCTGCCCCTCTTCTACCCTATGGTCTGGTGCTGGGCTCTTAGCAAGGGGCAAGGACATCCCTGGGATGTCCCCAGCCCAGGGGAGTGGTGGTGAACAGAGGGTGAGACCCCCAAAGCACCCCCAGCAAGCTCTGCAGAGCTGCATCCCTGGCCCAGAGCACACAAGGAGCCTCAGCAGACCCCCCCCCCCCCCCCGAATTCCATAGTGCTTAATTACAAGGAGAAGGGCTTTGGAGAGGAAGCGGAGGGGGCGAGCACAGGCCAGATTGGAGGGAAGCTGGTGCTGGGGGTGGCTGTGCTGTCAAGCCAGAAGCACAAGAGCTGATTAGCATTTCTAATTATAACTGCAGCGCTCAGCCCCATCCGGGCCTGGCGGGCAGAGCCAGCTGTGGTGCTGTGCAGGAAGCACGGGCCGTCAGCCTCAAATCCTTAAAGGATGCACAGGAAAGAGCATTGGAGCCCGGCTCCATCAGCTCCTGATGGAACACCCGGTGCCATTGAAGCCCCCGGGGCAGAAATCCCGCTGGTTCCTGGCCATGGGGCTGATCCTGATGGCATCACTTGGGCAGGAGCAAGCAGAGCCCGTTTTGGTTCTGGGTCCTGCACCCCCAGCCAGGCAGCAGCAATGGGCACTGTGGGTGATGGCATCGGGCTGGTGTCACCCACCACTGATATCCCACCCGGGGGAAGGCAAAGAGTGCTCCGGAGGGGATGAGGGGACAGTGGAGGTCCTTGCCTGGTGCTCAGCACTGCTCTGTTCTTTGCTGTTAGCACCAGAGCTGGCAAGATAAATTATTCAGTATTGAATATCATTATCATGTAACTGGGTAAATATTATAGGTCAGCAAATGACTGTTCCAGGGCAGTGGGTGACCCATGAGGTCCCGTGTCCTCAGGGCACAGTGCTCTTGGCACGGCTGGGATGTGATCCGAGGAGTGTGCCAGTGGAAATCAGTGTGGGGCTTTCGTGGGCTAAGTGACTTAATCCAGGTAAAGATTCCCAGCTTGGAGATCAGCATCGACTGCTTCCGGCATCTTCTGGATGGTGACAGCTCCTGTGGGACCACATTCCCCACCTCCATGCAACCTGGAGGTGCTCAGGATGCTGCCTGCTGCTGGGATCCCATCAGGCAGTGCCGGGGATTTTGGGGAGGGGAGAGACCCCTGTCACAGCCCAGGCTGTGGGGTGGCAACACCAACATCTCTGGTTCCAGGTCCCCCCCGTGTCTGGAATACAAAGAGGAGATGGGCACCGTGGGGAGAGGTGTGCCTGCCCCTGCGCATGGGGTGTGAGAGATAATCCCACCTGCAGAATTTGTATTAGTTTGATTGCATTAATTATTCAGTGATAAGTGCTCATTAGGCATTCCAGCGATCAATACCGATCACTTCATTACTTGGCATATTACAGCTGGGGAAGGTCTGCTCACTCCTAATTAGATTCCCTGGACAATCTACCCCAGAATGTGACAGAGCCCCGCGGACAGCTCCGTGGCACTTCCAGCCTCTCTCTGCTTGGGCCCAGGTGTTACCAGTGAGGGCTTCATTCTGTGCTCTGTACTCAGCCCCCAGAATCAGGGTTCCGGGCACAGGAGGGTGACCTGGGGAGCCTGCTGAGCCCCAGGGCCACGGGCGCAGAGAGGGCACCCCAAAAGGCACATTTTTGTCTCTCCACCTTTCTCTCCCTTCCCTGTATGCTGCGCTCCCCTGGGTGAGAGGCTGCTCCTGGGTGAGAGGCTGCTCCTGGGCGAGAGGCTGCTCCTGGCCTGTCTGCTCCTTGCCTGACACAAAGCAGCCGCTCTCTTGCCTTGAGGTTTCCCTGCCCAGATGCAACGCAAACGGGGAGGAAGGCCCGGGCTGGTGCTGCTGCTGCTGGGCTTTAACGCTGCAAAGGGGACAGTGAGGAGGTGAAGAAGGGGGTGATGCCCGGCTCAGCCCTGGGGGTTCCCCACTGCAAAGTGCCGGGGCTGGCTCAGCATCTCCAGGGTCATCAACGGGCCTTGGGGAACCCGGGTGAGACCCCGGCTGGGGGCCTGAGCCTGGGACGGGACCCCGAGCGGAGCCCAGCCCAGCCCAGCCGAGCCGGGCCGTGCCAAGCCGTGCCGTGCCGAGCCGTGCCGAGCCGAGCCGTGCCGTGCCGAGCCGTGCCGAGCCGTGCCGTGCCGTGCCGAGCCGAGCCGTGCCGTGCCGAGCCGTGCCGAGCCGTGCCGAGCCGAGCCGAGCCGTGCCGAGCCGGGCCGAGCCGGGCCGGGCCGTGCCGAGCCGGGCCGGGCCGGGCCGAGCCCCGCGGCAGCCCCCCCCCGCCTCCCCGCGCTGCGTGCACCGCCCCTCGCCGCTCCGAGCCGGGCGGAGCCGCGCCGGGCCGGGCTGCGGCGGTCGGTGCGAGCCCCCCCGGCTCCCCGGCGGCGAGGCGGGGGCCGCGGCAGCCCCGGCCATGCCCCCCGGAGCCTGAGGCCCGCGGCCGCGGCGCGCCCGCAGCATGCGGAGGATCCGGCGGCTGGTGCATCTGGTGCTGTTCTGCCCCAGCTCCAAGGGCCTGCAGGTACCGGGGGGGATGCGCAGGGCCGGGGCGGGGGATGCGGTGCCCATCTCCGCATCCTGGCAGCGGCCGCGCACAAAGGGGACGCTCCGCCGCGGTCTGGGGCACGGGGCTACGGGGACCGGCACCGGGGGCCGCGGGCGTTGCACAGCCCGGGCCAGCCGCAGCCCCGCCGTGCTGGGGGAGCCGCAGCGGCCGTGAAGCACCGGACAGCCCATCCATCCGCCAGCCCGCAGCGCTGGATGGAGGAGCCGGTGCAGCCGCCACTCCTGCTCTTTCCTTTTTCCCATCCCCGAGCTGCTGGGGGTTGGGACCCGGTTCAGTGCCGCCGGGGATGCGGGGATGGGACGTGGGGCTGGGGATGCAGGGCTGGGAATGCAGGGGCAGGTTGTTATCTTGGGCGTTTTCCCCTGCAGCCATGGGATGAGAAATCCTGGCTCTGGCTAGTGCCCTGGACCAGAGCGGTTTTCCCGGTGGATGGGAGGTTATCTCTGTGGTGGGGAAAAGCAGGGATGGGGTAGTGGGTAGCTGGTGAGCGGAGGATGGTGGTAGGAGATGGGGCAGAGCCCTGGGCTCACCAGGTGCAGGGAGGGCTGCATGGGGAGGGCAGTGTTTAGAGGAGGCTCTGTGGGTCCCCAGCACAGCGGATTGCTGGATGAGTGCTGCGGCTCTGCTCCCAGGGCCCTGGGGTGCTGAGCCAGCCCTGCCTGCTGTGCTCTTCCCAGCCAAAACGGCTGTGGAGCAGTTGTGTGGGGCCACTTTGACGGGCAGGGGCTGGGTTTGGCTGTGGCTGGGAGGGCAGAGCTGGGTGCAGAGTGAGGGTGGTGGGACCTGGGGACAGCCTTTGTGCCGAGGTCACCCGTGTGGGTCCCATGGGAGGGGGTGGCAGCCCCACCATGGTCCCCACTGGTGGGACCCACTGTGAAGCAGCCCCCTGTTCCCAGAGCAGGGGGTCACATACCCACCACTGGGCAGGTTCAGGGGGGCTGCTGTGCTGGGGGGGTCTCGTGGGTCGCAGTGGTCTGTGTCCGACTTCAAGGACTTCTGGAAAACTGCATGAGCTGGTTTTCAGCTCCCGGGAGCAGCCACACATCCTTTGCCAAGTCCTCGCCATGGTCAGCTTCTCTTTACCAGGCCTTTGTTACCAGTGCTGTGGCTCGATGGCAAACTGGGCATCGTGGCCTGCTTCACTTTCCAGTTAAGATGCACTTGCAATTATGCATAGTGTCACCATCCCGAGCAGACCTGCCTGCTTTCACCGCCAAGCCGGTGTGACAGGAGAGCAGGAGGCTCCACCACCACCGGGTATTGCTGCAGCAGAGCCCTTGCAGCACTTGGCAAGAGGCAGAGATGAGGCATTTTGGAGGTGGGAGCAGTTTTGGGCTACAAGACCAAGCAGGGATCCCTGGCAGGTTGTAACAGCGTTGGATCCAGCCCTATCCCAGCAGCAGGTCGTGGTCTCACCACTGATGCGGTGTGAGAAGAGAGGAGATTTGGAGATGGCCACAGGCCAAGGGCTCTCTTGAAGCAGGAATTAGCCACGGAAACCAGAGGGAATGGGGTGCTTGATGCAAGGATTCATTCCTTGCCTGTGGGAACTGCCAGGGCTCTGTGCCCTGCTACACAGGTCAGGTAAACACCCTGTGCTGCAGGAGGGCAGACGGCAGCACCCGAACCCCGCTGGGAGCCTCACATTGTTTGTGTGGAGGTTCCTCACCCCTCTGCTGGCACCCACACTGCTGGTGGCTGCCTCCCGTGTCCATGAAAGGGGCCCTAGGTAGAGGCAGAGCCCCTCACACCCGAGGATGCAGAGGCAGCAGGCTCTGCTTTCACACGAGCAGCGGAGCAGGAGCACACGGCCGCAGCTCCCTGCCGTAGGGATGCACAGCATCCAGCTCCCCGCAGCCCACCGCTGTAATCTCCCTGCTTTTAGGGAATTTTAAATGTCCTACTTGCAGCAGGAGTTGCATAAGAGACTGGTGCATCTGTACAAAACAGGCTGAAGGTTTCACCGGCGCTCAGGTCGAGTCGTGCAGAAGTTGTCCTTGTCTGGCTGACAACGACCCGGCCTTCACCAGCGTTTCGTTGTCCTTGCAGAGCCGCCTCCCGGGCATCAAGGTGAAGTACCTGCTGGTGCTGTGGCTGGGCATCTTCGTGGGCAGCTGGGTGGCCTACATGCACTACGCATCCTACTCGGAGCTGTGCCGTGGGCACGTCTGCCGCGTGATCATCGTGAGTGATGGGGCAGTGCCCGTGGGTACCGGGGCCGGTGCGGGGTGTGTGGTGCTGCAGGAGCCTGTATCCAGCCCCCTCCAAGCCCCATGTGGTGCCTTGCAGCATCCATCAGGAATGCTGTGCCAAGGAGTGCTCCTGGCAGCTGCTTCCCTGGCATCCCACGGAGCTCGGAGTGGGAGAGGTGGCCTTATCCTGCCAGGGCGATGGGGAAAGCATCTAATGAGCTGTCGGAGGGAAGTCGGCCAAGCAGCCATGGGCAGATTAACATCTGTGGAGATGAAGCTGCAACGTGAGGGCAGCGAGTAGATCCCCGTTCAGGGAGAGCATCGTGCTGGACCCCAGAGCAGAGCCAGGAGGAAAGGGGAGCAGCCAGTCTGTGGGTACCCCTGGCACTGCTGTTGTGCCCTAAGGAAAGCAGGAGCTGCACGAAGAGCAGGGAGCTTGGCTTGGTGCGTTTTACCCCTGCCTGGGGTTTGGGGTGGGAGGCAGGAGCGGGGTGCTGAGTGTGCCCCATGGCAGGGAGCAGGTCACACAGCCAGCCAGGCCCATGGCTCTGTGTGAAATGCCTGGCTCATCCGTCCTTCCGCAGGGCAGGGAGGCAGGAATTGCCATAACAACAGGCATGATCGTTTGATTTGATTTCCTGCACGACTCTGACCACGGGGTCTTGGGCGCTAGTTCCTGCTCTGAGCTGGGGGTTGCAGATGCTGAGTCCCCTGTGAGCAGGTCCAGGGGTTAATTCCTGTCATGTCAGGGATACATGAAAGGAGAAGATGCAGTGAATTACTGCAGCTCCCGCTTCCAGCCCTGAGGCTCTTGGAAAGCTGCGGCCTCTCCTGCCCAGGGCTGCCTCCAGCAGCTCCAGCAGCCGGATCAGAGCCCCTGAGGGGTTTGGGCACGGCAGGCAATGGGCACGGGGCTGGTGACAGGATGGGGGGGGTTCATGCGCCCCCAGTTCATGTGCTTGGGGGGCTGCACATCACAAGCTGTGCGGATGGGCCTGGATCTATCGGGTGAGCAGGGATCTGCCCCTGCTGAGCTCCTTTCTTTGCCTTCCCCTCCCCAGTGTGACCAGTACAAGAAAGGAATCATTTCTGGCTCCACGTGCAAGGACCTGTGTGAGGAGCGCAGCCTCCTCTTTCAGCACTGCCTCTCCTCCTCTCCCACCCAGCAGGTAGGTGCCTGCCCTGCCTAGAAAGCCACCACAGGGCTGGGGATGGGAGCAAGCTTCAGTCTGGGAAATGTCCTCACCCAGTCCCTGTACCGGTCCCAGACTGGAGCAGAACCAAGTTCTCTGCACTCGCTGTTTTCTCCCATCTCAGTGTGTCCCTTTGCCATTGCTGCAGGTTTACAGCGGGCTCTGGAGGGAGACGGAGGTGATCATCAAATGCGGCATCGAGGAAGCCTTGAAGGCAGATGGGCACCCGGACTCTGTGCCCAGGAGGGACGTGGTCCTCTTCGACAAGCCGACACGAGGGACGTCGATGGATGAGTTCAAAGAAATGCTGCTCAACTTCCTAAAGGTCAGTGCCCGAGTCCCTCCGGGATGCCATTTGGAAAGGCTCATAGTGTCTTTTGTTCCCATTGAATGAGAGCTCCTCGGGCCCATGCTTCCCCACTGGTGCTGGGCGCCAGGCAGGGCTCCTCTTCGTGTCCTGCAGCTATGGGGCTCCCTGAGGAATGGGCTGGCCCCAGTGCAGGCAGTGGTGGGGACAGGGACAGACGGTGCCTCTGGTTCACAGCTTCTCTGGGCACCCTGTGCCAGCGCCTCAGCACCCTCACAGGGAAGAGCTTCTGCCTAAGAGCTCATCTCAGTCTCCCCTCGGGCAGGTTAAAACCATTCCCTTTGTCCTGTCCCTACAGGCCCTTGTCCAAAGCCCCTCTCCAGGTTTCCTGCAGCCCCTTTAGGCACTGGAGCTGCTCTAAGGTCTCCCCTTCAGGAACCTTCTCTTCTCCAGGCTGAACCAGCCCAGCTCTCAGCCTGGAAGCTTCTTCCCATCTGGGTCTAGTGCAGCCCTGATGCTGGTGAAATTCTGCTGGGGGTGAATTGGTCCAACCCTACCCAGTGGTGTGGTACCGAGCTCGTATGAGCAGGGTGGCTGTTCCCTCCTCTCCCAAGCTCAGTTCTTTGCCTCCCCAGCTCAGTTTAGTGATGTGAAGCCTGAACATGGAGAGCTGCAGGGGTCTGACGCCGCTTGCTCTGTTCTGGTTCTGTTCACAGTCCAAGCTGGGAGATCAGCCTTCTCTTGCAGGCCTGGTGAGCCGGATCATCGGCATGGCGGACGTGAACCGGGACGGGAAAGTGTCTTTAGCAGAGGCCAAATCCATCTGGGCTCTCCTTCAGCTCAATGAGTTCCTGCTCATGTTCTCCTTGCATGAGAAAGAGCACACTTCCAAACTGCTGGGGCACTGCGGGGACCTCTACGTCACCGAGAAGATCCCCCACACCTCCCTCTATGGGGTGGACGTTCCCCCCTTCCTCCAGCCGCTGCTGCCTTCGGTCGTGCACCAGATCATCCACCAGTGGTTCGCACCAGCGTGGCCCCGGCGGGCAAAGATCTCCATTGGCCTCCTGGAGTTCGTGGAGGAGATCTTCCACGGCACCTACGGGAACTTCTACATCTGTGAGGCCAGCGTGAGCAACGTGGGCTACAACGACAAGTACGACTTCAAGATGGTCAACCTGCGGAAGGTGGCGACGGAGATGACGATCCGAGGCTTCCTCAAGGGCCGGCACTGCGAGCAGAACGGGGACTGCACCTACGGGAAGGACTGCACGGCCACGTGCGACAAGCTCCTGAAGCAGTGCAAGAGCGACGTGGTGCAGCCCAACCTGGCCAAGGTGTGCGGGCTGCTGCAGGACTATTTGCTGTACGGGGCACCGCTGGAGCTGAAGGAGGAGCTGCAGAAGCAGCTCCGAACGTGCATGACCCTCAGCGGCCTGGCCAGCCAGATGGAGGTGCACCACTCCCTCGTGCTCAACAACCTCAAGACCTTGCTCTGGAAGAAGATTTCCAACACCAAATACTCCTAACGGGGGGGGGGGAGCACGGCCCTGGAGTTTAGAATCCACGATCTCAGAGCTGAGTGCAAGGGCTGAAGGCCTGTTTCTCCATCCTCTCCCCCACAGGCAAATACCCCCTGCGCAGGGAGTTGAGCATAGCTGCAGCCCCTTCTCCCTCGGGGAAAACCAAGCGTCATGACTTCCACCGCCCAGCAGGATCATCGGGATCACACATCGAGCCGGCAGGAGCGTGCTGCGGAGCCGGGACAGCGGGGCCGGGCTGAGCTTGGGGGAAGAAGATGAGATGGAAAGCGAGGAGGAAGCGGAGCCCAGCTGGAGGCATCAAACTGGTCCTTGATTAACAGGAAAGCAGCGCCGAGATGAGAGTGAATCATTCGTGCTGTTCTTGTCACATCATCTTTTGATGAACGTCTCTGATGTAAATAAATGGCTTTTACGTGAATCGCACCAGCACATCAGTAGCGACGCAGCAGCCTCAGCACGAGCCTGCCCGCGAGCTGGAAAGGAGGGGAAGGTAATTTCCCCATCCAAAAGCATCTCCTAGAGTGTCTGAGTCATCTGCCTCCAGATCCAGCTGTGGCTTAGGAAGCAGATCAGCAGAGAGGCCTGGCAGTTCCACCATTCCTTCTGAAGTGCCTGACCCCAGACAGGGATGTGGTGGCTTGTGCCAGGCTCCCACCAGCTCCTGCCCGCAGCCTGGAATTGGCAGCACAGGCCATTCCCTCTCACACGGTCTGGCTTTGGAAGCATCTAAAGCCAAGAATAGCTTAAAGCATTAAAATGAATCCGCAGGCAAGGTTGCAGCAGGCTTCCAGACACTTGGTTGCCTGTGTAGATGCTACCAGGGCTCTATAGTCTGTTTCCTTTAAACACTCAATTATAGCAACCTTTGAAACCTGGGCGAAGAGAGGAGGAATTTGTGTGACCTACCCCAAGCTCACTCAGTCATATGCCTGCTGACAGGAATATGCCATATACCACATGGCAGTGCTCTCACCAACTGCTTACTGAAGTGGGGCATATAGCTGAAGTACAGTCACAAAGGAAGTACATCTGACAGCACCTCCCCTGTGCACGCGAGTGCTGGTGTCACAGCTGCAGATTTATGGGCCCTTTGGAAGAGATACACCAGTTTTCCCTTCTATCCATTCCATAGGATCATCCTTCCCTCTCACTGTTATTTATGGAGGGAATGTTTCAGCGTCAGCCACACTCAGTGCTGGTGCAGCTTCCCAGAGGGGCTGGCTGGGCAGCATCACTCAGCTGTGGTCAGGATGAGCTCTTGTGGGGTTTGTTTGAAGTGGGGTGAGTTCCTCAGTTAATTCAGGAGAGACACAAGCATGACCAAGGCCCCACCTCCAGGCATTAGGGCACCCAGTGTCACCTGCGTGGAACAGGAACGCTGGGTGGAAGGTGAATGAGGGGACTGGAATTGGGTGATGCGGCTCCATGGAGCCGCCCGAGCTCCTCATCTCTGGTCCTGCACTCCCATAGCAACCAGCTCCAGAGAAATCATTTCCTTCTATTAGAAAAAGGAACTCAACACCCACTCCAAATCCTCCCCTCAGGTGTTTGGGAAAGCAATTCGCCACCCCTGCTCTGTTGGCACTTTACGACTCCCTGCCCCCAAAGCAGGGGTAAAGCCCATGAGCACCTAGAAAAGTAGAGGAAAACCACCATGGTCCTCATTTACCTATGAGACCCTAGATTCCAGAATTTCTGAAAGTACGAAGTTCAAGGAGAAAGACAGCCCCTGTGCTTGCAGAACTCTCCCAGGCAGCTTATTCAGACACCTCCAATGGGAGCTGCCACATTCCTGTGTGATTAATCCACACAGCAGTGGACACACTCCCAGGAATCCCTCAGAGCTCACACCCCAAGAACAGAGGGTTCAGTTCATCACTAATACAAAGCACGAGTGTTTTCACACATGTGCTCATCGTTTACAAGCTACACCACAATACGGGTGAGAAATGACTAAAGGCAAAGCTATTCCACACTGGGGCCTGCTCCAGCTTTCCCACATTAGCTGGGAAAAAGAGGAAAAGCAGAACACTGGAAGAGTGACAATCCCATCTCAGCTGCTTTAGCAGCATACATTTGAGCCACAAGGGGCTGGAGGTCAGCAGCAAGGCTTCTATCTGTCACTGTTTAAAGAAGCCATCCCAGTTCTCACAGCCACAAATAAAGTCTTCTATGCTAGAATGGTTAAAAAGAAGGTATTACTTGAGGTGCTACAAACACACATTCCAGGCTCAGCGGAGGTGGCATCTTTATTTAGTTGTTTGGGGTTTTTTATAACCCTTCTTACCATGCAGGGAAAACACAGACTGAAAGCAGAGTGCTTCAGAATGTGGAAACAGCTCAGGAGAGAGATGAGTGGGAGAGGGACAAGGTTACAGCTCTGGGAGCTAGTCACCAGCAGCACAGCAAAGGCAAGGAAGGACACTGGGAACAGAACAATCATTTCTCTTCAACATCCGAGCATGCAGGTTGCAGGCAGCACTCGGAACCAGCAGCATCACCGCACACTTTGGCTGCTGTGAGCTTGAACCCACGTTGAGAAGATGAAGTTTCAGCACCCTAGAGATCCTCACTGCAGACACCACGGCCCAGTTCTCCTGCAGCCGGGTCTGCTGGAGTTCCAAACCTCAAGGCATGATCTGCAAACGAGAAGGCGCAGGGTGTGAGACAACTCCAACTGCAGCAGAGGTCAACAGCAAGCAGCTGGTTAATGCATCCAGGCTCCTGCTGGTCACTGCAGCTCCTCAGGACACAGAACTGCTTTAATTCAGCTGACAAGCATTACATCAGGTTTGTCTTGAGACTACCCAAACACTTTCCCATCCCAGAGGAACCAATAAAAGCTTCATGAAACGAAACCAAGTCTGAGGGCAGTCATCAGCTGGGCTGGGTTGTCACGATTCACAGGGAAGCTTCAAGCACCAGACTCCAGCATCACCAAACACCCTACCACTGCAGTCAGTGGAAGGCAAGTGCCTGCAAACCCGAGTGGATCAGGAGGCAGTGACAGGAGGCAGATGATAATAAATTGGCCTCATTTAGGACAGGTTCTTTGACACCAGAACAAAGGATTTGAAAAGCATCTCCTGGCTTGGCGGCGCACTCTGGTGAGTCCAGGAAGGGGGGAATTTAACAGCACAGCCAGAGCCTGCTCATGGTTCTTCTTTCCCTCATGGGCTCCCTAAAAATCAAAGGGGAGTTTGCCTGCAGAGGCAACATTCATAGTGCAGAGAGGAAAGCTGGGCTTATTCCAGCCTTCAAAGCCAAGGCATAAACCAGTTCTAATGATGCAGGGCTAAGTTAATGTGCACAACGACTCTTCATTCCTCTCAATGCCACTTTAATGCAAAATACTCACCTTTTCCACAGCTGAGAGCCAGGCAGCTCTTTCAGTAAAGCAATATTCATAGCCTGGGATTGCTGCTCAGGCTGGGGAAGACGGTTCACAGCAAATGCTGTTAGGAGCATTTTAATAGCTCTCCTATGCCTCACACAGTAAAGCTCTGGAGAGACACTCATTAGGCACTCACTACTGCTACAGGACCCTTGATGCAAGCAAAGCCTGAGCAGAAATAACCCAAATGTGTGTTTCGGGTTAGAAGTCAGGGTATTTAAATAGAAGAGTCCCATCTTGGGGCATGGCTCTTTGCAGAGCATATCCCCAGCCACCTTATTAGCATTCTTCCCAAAGCCGCTGCTGGTAGGCACTGCCTTTTCCCAATTAAATGGCTCATTTTGCAGCCAGCAGCAGCCCACTTGGTTAATGGCACCTCTGGCCCTCTAATGCCCATTTAATGAGGGCATTTTCCACCACCCAGCACTGCCAGGTTTTGTCAAGCCATTAGTCACTGCAAAGCCTCTTGGTTTTGCAGCACCGCACGTGGCCAGAGCTGTTCTCACCACTTAAAGGACTTCAGGTTTTCGCATCAATTTGTTGCTTTATTACTAAAATCAAGCTTTTCCTTGATTTTAAGACACAATCTCTCATTATCTTGCATATGAGACATGAGCTCGTTTTCAGCAGCGTTTCGTGTCGGACTACAATAGCACCAGAACCCATCTTCATTATCTCAGGCACTTCAACACGCAAAACCGGAAGCTTTTAACAGAAGTGTCTTGTTCTACTGACAGCTGCCTTTAAAAGCATGCTCCTGGGGAGCTGAGGAAGGCAGTTTAAGTGAAATGAAAAGGTGAAGAGTGTTAAAGGTTGCTTACAAAAACTGCTGCATTAGCAAAGCAGAGGAACCTGGGCGCGCGCCACCTGAAGCGGGTTTTTCCAACAGAAAAAGATGCCAAACTACTGAATTCAGGCTTTCTCCAAGTCTACACTGGTACTGTTATTTTACTTGGTTTCATTTGTCCCTGTCCCGTAAGGACAGGATGTACCACCCCTAGGATCCTACCAGACACCACTGAGGCCCAGTGGGTTTCCAAGTGATGCCACACTTACCTGCAGCAGTTGAAGTAAGTTCCAGGAGTCAGCCCTGCTCTCAGCTGTAACTGTGAGGAGGAAAAACACCTTTAGTTTGGGTTTTTGAGGAAGGAGTGAGGAGCTGGTGAGTTAACATTAGGAGCAAGGCACGGTTTCCAGCACCTGCTAAATCCACACCAAACTGGTTTTCTATCTACATCAATCCTTTGAAAACACCAAACTCAAAAGCCTGTTTCCCCCATCCCTTCCACGCCCAGGTGTGGTTCTTGGTATCTACGTAACACTAAATAAACCCTGCTGAACTCCAGGTGTCTTTTCACCATCGGAACAGACAGCAAGCAAGAGTGTCTTGCAGGCCATAAGGAGCTGCTGAAAGCAAAAAGAGAATTCAAGACAGCAGCTGTCACTTTTGCTTGTCCTTGCAAAACCCAAAAGGACCTTCCCCTGATGCAGTTAAAATTGGCATCATTTAAACTGCTTTTCTAAGGAATTTTGCTCCATATTCTGCTGGTTTTCCGGAGAAAGAGGTAAATGCAGCAGCAATGTCAAGCTACTGAGCTGAGTAGTTACAAGCTTCTGGCACAGGAAAGCTCTTCACCTCTGACTACTAATGATACCAACATGTCAGGAAAGCAAACCTCCAAGGACTCAGGGCTATTAAAGAATACTGGAGTCTGCTATTCCTAACAATAAATGATATACAACAAACCTGAATTAGATTTTAACAGAGCAGGTTAGTAAAACAGGGTCACTTCTAAAGCATAGAATCTGACAGTATAAAAGGTACCCTTATCTGTCACGTAAGATTATACTGTCATGAAGAGAATTACTCACAGTGGAGGGCAGCCCTTCTGCACCCTGTCCCTCCAGAGCTGTCCATTATTCACCATTAAAACACTTAACATTCAAGGAAAAACCACAGGAAAACCAGGAACCAAGTGTCAGGCTGCTCATCATTCCTGGGTGCTCACAGGTTCCAGAGCCCCAGCACAGACACAGCCTCTTCCTCTCTGCCACCTAATGACACAAACAAGGCACTACAGCCACGTCTGCAACACGAGCTGGGGCATGGGGCTGTTCAACTGCACCCGCTGCTGCTCACCTCGGGTCCTGCAGGAGCCCTCCTCCCGTCAGCCAGGTCCTGCAGCTTCCTCTGGAAAGGGAAATGCACACATCGCTTACTTTGTGTACCCAGACACACCTCAGAGCCTGGTCCGATGGGCTCTGTTGCACTGGTAACACAAGCTTGGAAGGTACAGCAGGAAAGGGAAGCTAAAGAAACCAATGCACAGCACACGCAGGGTTTAAGCACATGTGGTTATTTCATAACCCCACAGCATTCTACCCATTTTAAGGCTAAACAAAAGCCACACACAGTGGGTCTTCTGCTGCAGACCCACTACAGGTCACACACAGCAGCTTTCTATCCTTACACCCAGCTCTCACGTTAGGGCAATTACTCGCATTTCAGGTAATTAAACCCGTTTATAAACCATGTCAGGCCATCAATCACTCTGAATGCCCACGGGTCCGGGAGCAAACGAGCGTAGAACACAGCCTGTCGCTCTCTGCCACCTCATGACACGAAGGTGCCACCGCAGCCACCTTCGCAACGCCTCTGGTGGCAGGTCGGGAACGCCACAGGGACTGAAGGGATAATACACGCGGTTGTAAGAACAGCATCACCTACTCGGTAGCGTTACAGCGGGATTTGGTGCACGTGGACACACTAAACGCAGTACATCAGAGCGTTAACAGAAGGGTGCAGGTCTTCGCGTTAAGCACCACTTACCTTTGGCTTCTCAGGACGCGCAAATCTTTCTCACTTCACCCTTTGTCTTCTGCCAGGCTGAAGAAGGACAAGAAAAGGGATGTTAATAAAGGCCGCGCTAATAGCAGCTCATCACAGATTAGCAGCTAACTGCTGTGTGTAAGAACTCCGTGACCTGCCCCCTCACGCAGCCCAAGATCAACCCGCAGCAGCACCAGCGCCGCTTCCTGCGCACGTTCAGGGTTACTCAGCTCGCCAGGAGCCGTTAACAGCGGCAGCCCCGCTGCTCGCCACCCTCCATGGGAGCACGGCTCTGCCCCTGCCCGTGCCCGTACCCAGCCCAGCGCTGCCCGGGCAGCCGCGGTTCTCCCCGGCCACGTTCTGGCCCCTCCGATCCCTGCACCCCGGGGCGGGGGAGCGAGCAGGGACCAAGCCCCGGCTCCCCGCGGGCAGCGCCAAGCACGCGGCCCCGGGCGCACACAGGAGCGGCACCCCCGTACCTCCGGCGCGCCTTCCTCATCGCCATCATCGCCACCACCACCATCATCATCATCATCATCATCATCATCACCGCCATCCCCATCCCCTGCACCGGAGCCTCCCGCCGCCCTCCGGCGGGGAAGGGGCTCGGAGGGGCCCAGCCCTGCCCGGGTGAGCGCAGCCCCCGCGGCCGCCCCGCTCGGTCCCCGCCGCCATCGCGGTCCCACGGCGAAAAGGCCGCAGCGCCCCCGCCTTCCGCTTATATAGGGCGGGGAGGGGGGGCGGAAGGGCCGCGGGGACAGCCCGCCCTGAGAGCGGCTCCCGAGAGCGCCCGCTGCTGGCCAGGAGGACTCGGAGCGGGAGCGGCCGGCCCGAGGACCCGGATGAAGATGGGGTCCGGGATGGGGCCCCGGGGCTGGGATGGGGATACGGGACCGGGATCCCCGGCCCATTGCTCGCCCCCGGGACCTCCCACCCGTGTGTCAGCGCCTGGAGCTCCCTTTCCCGGCCGCACTCTGGGGCCCCGCCATTCGCCATGGCTGTGGCTGAGGTTGGACCCCGAGATGCCCTGGGATAAAGCAGGGACCCTCCAGCGCTGGGATGTGCCACCTCCCCTCCTGCTCCCCTCTGTGTGCTCCCGGGGTGGGAACAACCTTCACACCCCTTCCTTGGCCATAAACACTGGCCAGAGGCCCCCGTTTCACAAGAAGACAAGAAAGATTGTGAAGCCCTTTATTCATCAGGACAGAGCATGAAACCCAAGTGATCACACACTCAGGGACAGGGAGGCCACAGCACAGAGGTGCCTCCGTGCAATGGGGACACACAAGGACAGGAGCTGGCCCTGGTCTGGCTCCCAGCCCCTCACATCGCTCTGGACCATTTCTGTTTGAGCTGGGATCACTGCGGGGCCTCTGCACAGCACCAGAGCCCTGCCAAAATCCTGTGCTCCGGGTGCAGGACGCCCGTCACCACCCCGCTGGGCACCATCCCACGGGCTCTAATTGCCCTCCGCTTTCCTCTGCAGCTCACGCACGGCCTCGCTGTGCCGCCTCTTGTCCTTGGCGCGGATGATGGTCATCCTGAAGAGCTTGCAGTACAGCTCCATGGCACTGGGGCTGTCGTCATTGCCTGGGATGGGGTACGTGATCAAGCAGGGGTTGCAGTTCGTGTCCACCACCCCCACCGTGGGGATGTTCATCTTGGCCGCGTCCCGGATGGCCACGTGTGGCTGGAAGACGTTGTTGAGGCTGCTGAGGAAGATGATGAGGTCGGGCAGGCGCACGCCGGCGCCGAACTGGATGTGCGCGTTGGTGAGCAGCCCGCCCTGCCAGTACCGCGTGTGCGCGTACTCCCCGCAGGCCCGCGCCGTGCTCTCCACCAAGTGGCAGAACTGGCGCTTGCGGCTGATGAAGAGGATGATGCCCTTGCGGTAGGCGATGTGCGCGGTGAAGTTGAGGGCGAGCTGCAGGTGCTCCATCGTCTGGTCCAGGTCGATGATGTCCTGGTCCAGGCGGCAGCCGAAGATGTAGGGCTCCATGAACCTGCGGGGGCAGAGGGAGGACACAAGGGGGTGCAGGGACGGGGTGATGCAGGCACCGAGCAGCCTGGATGTGGCGCGGCCTCACCGTGGAACCCTTCCCACCCTCCAACCCCAGTGACACCAGAGGAGCTCTCTGCAGAGCTGCACACAGCGCGTCCCACCAGGGCTTGGGGCTGCAGGGCTCACACTGGGCACGGTCCCTGTACAAGCCCATGCGGATATGAGGGTCTCCACGGGCAGTCCCAGACCCACCCAGTGCACACAGCCCGGGACAGCCTCCTGCTTCACTCACCGATGCCGACATCCCTTCTTGTGCCCCAGGTGCACCCGCGCATCGAAGAGATCTTTCAGGGAGAAGAGCTCCTTCACGTTGAAGAAGTCGGGGTGCGCGAGGGGCCCGGAGAGCAGCTTCTCATCCGCGGCTGAGAGAGAGAAACCCCAGTAAGGAGCCGGTCCCGCGTTGTGTGTGCAGGGGATGCGAAGGGCGCTGATGCACCCCCAACCCCAGGGGCCTGGCGGCACCGGCGAGGCTCCCGCAGGTGCGCGGCATCACTCACCGCGGGGCTGGGCCGGGCTGGGCGCCGGGGCCAGGGCCGGGGCCGCGATGCTGCTGTAGAGCCGGGGGGCTGCTGTGGGGAGAGAACGCGGGGTGAGGCGGGCCGGGGGCGGGCCGGGAGCGGGGCGGGAGCCGGACGGGACCCGCTCACCTGCCCGCAGGAGCCGCGGCACCGCCATGCTCCGAGCCCGCCGCGCCGGGAGCGGCTGCACCAGGAGGAGGAGGAGGAGGATGAAGGTCAAGCGGCGCCTTCCGCTTCCCGGGCCGGGGCGGGGCGCGGAGCCATCGCGGCCCCGCCCGCAGCGTCCCGTCTCCGGGCAACGCTCGGCTCCGCGTCCCGGTCCCGTCCCTGCGCCATGTCCGTGCCTGCGGGCGCCGGGCCCCGCACCAGCGGCTGTTACCGCAGCAGCGCCAGCCTGCCCGGCCGCCTCCAGCAGCCAGACCGCCTCTGCGGCTACGGGTGAGCCCCGCGCCCGGCCCCGCGCGGCCCCGGCCCCGCTCCAGCCCCGCTCCAACCCCGCTCTGTCCCCGCAGGAAGCCGGAGCCTCACCCGCGGTACCGCACCACGAACCAGACGTACGGCAGCAGGGCCCCCACGGTGCACGAGGTGCCGGTAGGGTTGGGGACCGCCGGGGGCTGGGGCAGCCCCGAGCACAAAGGGGTGCTGGGGGAGAGCAGCCCCGAGGAGGAGGACGTGGGGCTCAGCAGGGCCCGTCAGTGTGCGCTTGAGCCCAGGCGCTGCTGACGGTGGCATTGAGAACCTCTCCCCTCTGTTCGCTCCCCAGACCTCCTTCCATGTCACCCCACACGGCTTTACGAGGATCCAAGGCATGGGGGGCCCGTACAGGAACAGTGGGCTCAACACGGCCCTGGAGAAGAGCTATGTCACGGGTCCGGACAACTTCATCACCGCCCATGACCGCCTCGACTTCCACCCCAGCTACAACCCCAATGGCCCGTCCCACTGTTAGAGCTGCAGCGGGAGCAACAGGGTCACTGCTGGCTAAATACACACACACACACCCCCCGAAAGCCCCCTGAGCAAACAGCACTGACCTGCCCCTCAATCTCTTGCTAAGCCTCTTTGAAAGCCTGACAAGAAGCACTGCACTGCAAAGTCATTCACATGCTCACTACTGGCAGTAGATTAACCTGCACGCTTCCCACCAGTGGCCACCTCAGTCAGGCCTGGTTAAGGCCTGCATAAGCTTTGGGGAAAACCAGTTTAAAAGTGTTATTAAAACGGAGTCCAGGAATTTGTTGGGAGAAACACATGGGAGAAATCACCACAGAATGACTGCTATTAGGAACAACAGTTGAAGATTTAAGGTTATTAAATATGAGCTAAATACTGCATATGAACCATTTACTTAGTTTATAGGCAGCATAAATACTAGAACAATATACGTTACATACCTATATTCCCCTAACCTTTTCCCTGCTGCTAATGATGCTTTAAGCTCTTGGCTCATGTACCACGCATCATTAAAATTTAAGACCTCAAACCAGTTTCTGTACTATTTAATGAATAACCAAAGGGCAGGTTTCCCAAGAGTCTTTGGGTCTCTTGTAGAAAGCTCTTTCACCTTCCTCACCTCTCAAAGCTACAGGGATTTCAGAAACGACTCAAATAACGACACCTAATCCAAGAGAAAACATCTTTCTCAAGGTTTATTGTAACAACGGTGGTTACACAGCGAGTGGAACTGCACCATCTGCACAGGAACTGCACTGGAACGAACAACCTGGCATGTGTGGCTGATAAACTCGTCTTGAACAGAAATTGTGCAGCCTGTGTCTGATGAGGAACTGTCCCGCCTCACGGGGAACAGCAGACATTAAACATGAGCATAACGCTGTTCTAGCTGTTTGCTGAAGAACTAAAAAGGAAACAAGGAGCGTAATAGTGTGTCCAAGCACCACTGTGAATGATACTCTTCATGTGAGGGATATTCCCTGTTTGGGTTATTTTTATATAGTCTTGCAAACGGTGCAGGATGCATTTAAGCATCCTTGGAAGGCAGAGGAATCCTCTTTAGTTATTGTCACTAAACACAAATCTGAGGTCCAAAACTGAACAGAAAACCAGGCCCTTACTTGTCCCTTTTCAACCACTGAAACTCCAGTGTGGGCCCATGGTCTCATCACCAAGGTTTCAATGCCACCTCCCAAACGATTCCAGTTTTCACTGCAGTTTATATGGTTACCTCAAACAGAAGGGCTGGCTAAAGAACCTCTGCTAAGAACACACCAACACACTGGAACCAGCACATGGACTGAGCAGGAATGCTTCCTTAACACTTAACTTCTTAAAACCTTTAACTTCTGGAAATGAATAAGCAGCCCTCAGCCATTCACTGCTACTCTATCAGAGTAGACAATACCTTGAGCTTCTTACACCTTCCCTTTCTTCTCCTGAAATGAAAAACAACACAACGCTGAATTAATACAGATGGTTGTGACAGTTTACACGTATTTTTAGCCACATTTTTCTGCAGGTGGAACAGTTTAGGGAAGAGACTCCCTCTTGCAAATGGATTCAGTGGCTTTTGTCACCTATTTCCCCCCTAGTCTTCATACCTCATCCAGAACCCCCACCTCCTCCCTCCCTTGTCTCAACTCTCTCACTCTGCTCTAGTCTGGAACCGAAGCCAGCTGCTTTGAAGAGATCCGGGTGCAGCTCACCTCACCTCTCAACTGTTCCCAGGGACACGCTGCGTTAAGGTTACCCAGTTATCTTCCACTGAGGTTTGCTGGGAAGGGAGCAACACACAAGGTGCAGCCCGCCCCAGGAGATGTGCCTGTACGCATCAGTTTGCTCAAGGCTTCACTCACCATGTGTCAAACTTCAGTACCTGAAGGGGGCCTATAGGGATGCTGGGGAGGGACTCTTCATTAGGGACTGGAGTGATAGGACAAGGGGTAACGGGTTAAAACAAACAGGGGAAGTTTAGATTGGATCTAAGGAGGAAATTCTTTCCTGTTACGGTGGTGAGGCACTGGAATGGGTTGCCCAGGGAGGTTGTGAATGCTCCATCCCTGGCAGTGTTCAAGACCAGATTGGACAAAGCCTTGGGTGACCTGGTTTAGTGTGAGGTGTCCCTGCCCATGGCAGGGGGGTTGGAACTGGATGATCTTAAGGTCCCTTCCAACCCTAACTATTCTATGATTCTATAAACACTGGTTTCCTTATGTTTACTTTCCCCCATTCCCTTGTTTTAGTGGCTTCAGACACACTGACCTGTGTTCAGATGTTATACGCTTCTTTCGTAAGGAATACCTGCACCAACCCAAATTGTCACCCTCAAGATGACACACTTCACTGCAGGGAATCTACCTGAAACAGCCTTGTGCTACGCTGCATTTTGAAAGCAAAATCTTCATGTGTACAGATAAAATTAGGGGAGGCTTTACTATCAAACCAAGACAAACTGCAGCTCCGGGCACAAGTCAATCACATCTTCGGACTGCAGGCAGGGGGGAAAGGTAACGCAAACCCACTGCTCACTCGAGACGATGACACAAACCATAGGAGCACTCCGGTTTCACGGTCCATGGTCAGAACCCCATTTATTAACCATTATAAACGTATCCATGTACACCATTTCCTATATACAAATCAAGTTTCTCAATTTAAAAAAGTGCTGCTCGAAATCAGGTTTTCTTTAAAGCACAAGCTCATGGGAACGGCTTCTTAACCGGATCTGGTGGTGAGGAGTACCGAGAACACAGACACACGGACGGGGCAGCAGCCACCACCCTGGGAGGCTCAGCGCTGATTTACTGACAGCTCTGAGGAGGACCATTCAGCTTAATTTACACAAACCGTACAGAATGTGTCCACCCCCTCTGTTAATGCAGTTTAATCCTTTGAAAGCAAGGTACTCTGAAAACTTCTGTTTACCTATTGCAAACAAAAGGCCCAAATCCTGCATCAGGGCAGCCAAAACCACGCCTGTGCACAGGCGCTGCAGGCACGGGAGCCAAGGAAGAAACCACTTTTCCAAGGTATCCTAGCACAAAATGAGATACTGATGCTTTCAACAAACCGGCCACCAAGGCAAGGGCTACAAAAGGGCGGCCGGACAGTACGAAATGTCAAGTGACCACTAGGAACAGGTTTAAAACGTAACTGCACAACAGGACACACACACAAAGGCTGTTGCTCACTTCTCTACATGCCACGGTTACTTGTTCTACTCTACGCTACGCTGTAGTTTGCCGCTGTTGTGCAAACGTGACCACACCAGGGGGGATCCTGGGTGGCTCTGGATCCCTTCCTGGCTGCTTTCGCTCCATTTTCCAACATCAAGGCCAGCCTCCAGGAAGACACAGACACCAAGGGACAGGGGAGAGAAGACTGGATAAGGAGAGCATCGGATCAGTTCACAGGGACAAGACGTGAGAACAAACTACTCAAAGGACTTCATGACACGCAAATGAGAAGAACCAGCCAAAGGCTCGAATTCCCACTTCTGGGATCTTTCAGGGAAGGCAGAGTGGGGGCACTTTTGTTTGGTGATATGAACGTGCTACTTCAGGCCCGTATCAAGTCAGTACAAATAGAGAGTAGTGAAAAATTGCTTTATTCCTGCTGCTGGAAACGGAGGCAGAGAAAGAGCTACTGGTATGAAGGAACAGTGCTGGAAATACCCTTGGCGCTTACATCAGGGATGTCCTAGAGCAAACCCAGCTTTGTTCTATTGCACAAAAACTGTAAGTGAAAATCAGAGTCCACGGAGATGTAAGAGTTCAGAAACCCCTTTGAACAAGGCAAGTAAGGGCACTCAATTCCAGAAGTTCACACAGGAAACAAAATCCATCTATGGGTAACTGCAGGGCAGCAAAGTGAGACTTGAGAACAAGGAGGAATTGTTTCAGCCTCACAGGCCCGACAGGGCATCAATCTAGTGAAATGCACAGATCCTGGTGTCAGCACAGACACGCTCCTCAGGCTGCATGGAATCACCCGCTGGCGGGAGGCTGGGGGGTTCAGAAGGTTCCTGCCTTCCCCCAGGACATGCAGACAGACCCATCCACGTCATTTACCTGAATTTGCGTTTGGATCCTCAAGGCTGGAGCCCCACGCCTACATCTGCACCGGCTTTGCTGGAGCTGGGCTGAGGGAACTCACCCAACAGCCCCCGGGGCAGGGGAGAACCGGGACCCCGGCACAGGCCCGTGGCATGGGGGTGTCCTAAGGCAGCTCGAACGGGAATGGTGTCAGACAATGGGCTTCAGAGGCAGAGCACCGCGATCAAACGCTGTGTCCTCCTCCTCTGAGCAGATTGCCAAATGTATTCCGTGCACAAACAGGTTTCCTATTTATACACATGATTAGAGGCCTCATCATTTAAAGCATGATAAGCCAGTATTTTATCTACAGTGACTACAGCATCCTGCAGCAACGGCAGCCCTAAAAATCCTTATAAAAAATATTTCCTCAGAGCACTTTAAATAATTTACAAAATTCTACAAAAACGATGGATGCCTGTCCATGGGATCCCTGTTCAACAGAAGCACTTTCACATTAGTGTGTGTAGGATATACAGGTGATACAGGTGTCTGTGATATACAGGTATCAGCCTCCCTCACTGTCTCCCCTGTCTCAAGTTTGAGCAAGGTAATTACCTTTGTTCTCTAGAAAGACTGTTACTGTAAAAAGCAGCATACTTACAGATGTGAAACCCCTCCTAGAGAGAGGGAATCGGGGCAGATCCCTGCAGGGAGCTCAGGACCTTTTGCACAGGGTTTGTCTACAACTTCCTGCCCTTGGTCCACTTCACAAGTGGTTTCCCTATTCTCCAGGACAGGTACTTTTCCTTCCAAACTGGAGCTGGATACCTGCATTTCTTCCTGCCTGTCACTGTCGTGGCGGACAGCTTTTCCCTCCTCATTGCACATCTGTGTGCTGTTATCTGTACATGCTTCTCCACCGGTTTTATCCACTGCTACCGCTGTCACATTTAGCTCCTGTGGTGGGCAACCTAAGCTTGGAGCTGGGCTCTTGTCCTGCTGGTTATTCCCTCCCTTGCTGCACACATGTATACCCTGCTGAGATGCATCTCTACTGACTTTATCTGCTTGTACCACTGCCACGCTGTGCTGAGGGCGTGGAGCATCTACACTTGGATCAGCCCAGCTGTCTTTGTGGGTATCTCCTGCCTCGATCCACATCTGTGCGCTCCCAGCTTTGGATGTTCCTCTGCAAACCTTATCTACCTTCACTGCTGCCACGCTCTGCTCCTGCAAAGGGAGATTGGAATGT